TAATGTTATATAAATATAAAAAAATCTACCTAAACATAAAATTATAATTGTTTGAAAAATAATCAAAAACACGAAATATATACTCGCTTATATTTTATAAATGAATTCATTTTATAATGACATTTTGAATCATGAAAATACATATAAACAAACTTTCTATATTGAGTACCTAACTAAATTTTTGATTTTAGGATTTAACAAAAAGTTATTCAATAAAAACTTAATTTTTTTATAGCAACTTACGAGATTACTGAAAAATGGAACTATTGAACAATAAATTTTCTGGATAACATTTTATTTTTATTATTTAATATTTTCTGGATAAATTTTCTGGATAACATTTTATTTCTATATTGAGTACCAAACTCTCTCTCTCTCTCTCTCTCTCTATATATATATATATATATATATATATATATATATATATATATATATATATATATATATATATATATGGTTCAAACATGGATTGACATCTATTGTGTGGACGTGTGGACAATGTTATTCTGTGAGAATGACAAAGAAAATAAGTTGTTTGATAATATGAATACGTTCAATCTTATAGAATTATTGTAATTATTACGTATTTTCACTAATTAAATCGTCTATAAGGTTATTATAGACTTTTTTTAATTATTCTCTTTCTGTCAAAATGTTATCAGGATATTTATTGAGTCGTATTCTGTAAGATTGAAAATAAATGAAAAACGATGCATGAGAACAAAAATGAAGTATAATTAGTGAGAATCAATTAAAATAACAATAGTTCTGTGAGATTGAACGTATTCACATTAGTAAACAACATATTCTCTTAGTAATTCTCATAAAATAACATCATCCACACGTCCGCACAATAGTTGTCCATCCACATTATAACCTAGCCCTATATATATAATTTTTAATTTTTTTATAAAACGCCATTTTGTCACATATGAGATATGTGTCACACATACATCCGTTAGAGCCCGATCAACATGTAAAACACTTTCATACATATCCATTGCCTTATAAAATTTGTTTGCAAACACATAAACATCTTAAACATTTTTCATGTGAAAGTCCACAATAATGAGATCTCATAATTGTTATTAACGGCTTAAGTTTAAGCAATATTTTTTTTAGAAATCTGATTGTGTTTGAGAGAGATGTATATAGAATACGTGCGGAAAAAACAAAAATATAAAAGTACTTTTTTGTTTTTACCACACATACACAACTATACACACGAACAAAGTGACACTCACACACACTGACACACAACCACAAATATATATATATATATATATATATATATATATATATATATATATATATATATATATATATATGTGTGTGTGTGTGACATGCGTACTGCTTAACTACACCCCACGGACTGAGTTTCTACATAAGAGAAAATGAGGCAAAACTCGTTACGCCCTGCGTACTCCAGGGTTATCCCCCCGTAATCCTGCCGATGCCAATGTCGACTTTTAAGTTCTTAATACCTAAAGACTAAACGTCCAACTCGTAGATCTTGATCTTGGAAATGTCTTAACTGATAAAGTCGTCAACTTTAAGCATTTGCATGGCTTAATAGAGCCCAAAGCCAAACCCTAGGTCCATAACACTCTTTAATAACCTCAAACTCTTGCACGAGTGAGAAATAACAACAAAGACTTCATTTTTATGACACATGATCCTCACAAACAACATACAGTGACCAAATTGAGCTCTGGAATAGCTTTTACTCACAAGAACCAAAACCATGGGACCAAAAGCTTGCAAATCAAAGCTCAAACTTAGATCTAATCATATAACCATAAATGTGAGAGCTTTATACCTCCAGAAGCTTGCAAAGGCGATGAAAGTTCTGGATCTTCAAGCTTCAAGCCCGCCAATCCTCAATGATGTACTTCTTTTTCTTCCACAAGGCATCAATAACACTCTAAGGTCCAAAACAAGCTCTCAAGGTCTAAGGTTTCGAAATGACAGAATGAGGAAGTGGAGGCTGGTGACAAAGGAGGCCTCAAGGGACTTAAGGTGTTCAAATAGGGGCTCAACCCTAAAATTTAGGGTTTTGGGGTCAGCGTGGGTACGACTTGCGTACTCCTTATGAACGCCTTGCATACTCAAGGATGCCCGCGTCATCCTTTAATGATGTACGCCCTACGTACACATAATGTATGCGCTGCGTAAAATTCAAAATCCCCATATTTCACTTCAGCTTCAAATAACCATAACTCATTTGTTTCAACTCCGTTTTGGCGTTCTTTATATGCACGGAAAGGTATTGAAGAGTCCCACAATCCTATCTCATTACTTTTGACTTAAAACACACCAAACCAAAATTCTTAATACACGTAAGAAGCCCAGTCTATAACTTTTCCCTTTTCTTCCCTTTGGGTCCAACATACGAGTCAAGGGTTTGGACCTCATAATCAATATTATCAACTTTTAACAAGACCCAACTTTACTTTCTCAAAGCCCAAAACCTTAACATGATCGAATTCCATTCCACAACCCCGAATTTAGAAACGACCTGAAACATGGTGTTACAGCACATGTGAATGATAAAAAGTGACATACCAGTAAATGGGTCCTTGCAATCATCGTTTGTTGAAGTCATTCTTAACTCCTAAAAAAATGCAAGATTATACTTACCGACTACAAGAAATTGTATGTGTGGAAACACTTGATTATGGAGTTCTAAGAACTTACCTTTGTTCTCGCAATTTTCTTTCGCAATACTTACTCTAACCATAAAGATGATTCAAATATCACATATTCGTCATCATGTCATGCGTTAATCTGATTATTGCAAAGATGCCCGTATAAATTTGTTGAGAAGGTGATGTGCGAGAGACATTTTGCCTTCTCAAGGCATAACATATCTAAATAGAGAACTTAACCGAGGATATAACGGCCCATGTAAGCCTCCAATATTGTTAGATCATTGGCTTGGTGAAGTTTAACCAAATAAAAAATCTATTTATGACAAAAGCTACCTAAATATTGGGCGTTAATAGACATAAAAACCGAATTATGGTACTGTACTTTTTGGACAAACTTAATGTCCTAAAAAACAAATTAAAAGAAAATGAATCAAATGAAACAAATAGCTTTATTAGACGCTTAGAATAAACCCAACTATATATACTATGTTTTAACTAATGTGTAAATTTACTCTTTTTATCTAGTTGACTCTGTTATTACACATATCAACCCTACAAGGATGATTTTACAAAAAATAATGCTTTGAGATTGTCTAGAATAAAATTGAAATGAAAAAATGAGGTACATAATCTCTTGGGTTTCCGTTTCTATAACAACGTTTAACCATATCATATATTATTAGAGATAAGTTATTTCCATAAATACACGCAATCATGCTTCTTTATGTCCATAGACAAGGTTGAACATCACCATCCTTGTTATTACATACACGATAATAGAATAGAGTATTCAATATTGAAAAAAGTAAGACAACCATAAAACGTCAATAAGAACCACAATAAGAACCGCATGAACTTTCTATATGTCATTTACTCATTTATATATTCTTCAATTTTAAAAGACTACCGAACCATCAAATGACTTTTAGCCCAACGGTATAAGATGTTGTCATCTCTCCTTAAGGTTGAGGGTTCAAATCTCGTCGGAGACATATGCGAATTTATGAGTACTTTAGGATTAGATTAGTTTTTCGTAGGGATGTGCTTCGGACCGGAACCGACCCGAACCCGAATAACCCGAAACCCGAATTGGATGAAAAGTGGGAACCGAAACCCGGACCGATTATGCTAATACGAGACTGGTTCGGTTCGGGTAATACGAGTTTCAGTTCGGTTATTAACTCGAAAGGACCGAAATAACCCAAATAAACATTTACACTATGTTTTTGAATCGAATAACCCAAATAAACCGAAATGACCCGAATAACCCAAATAAAGAAATTCTATATCTAGTTCAAGAAAAAAAATATTACTTTAATATTTTTTTCTTGAACTAGATATATAATTTCTTTATTTGGGTTATTCGAGTCACTTCAGTTTATTTGGGTTATTCGGGTCATTTCGGTTTATTTGGGTTATTCGGTTCAAGTGACTATTCACTTTCCAGGTCGGTCTTTTTGGTCCGATTAAACATTTATTCGGGTAACCCGAACCAAATAACCCGAAACTCGAATTAGACAAAAATAGATACCCAAGAACCGACCCAAATAACTTATGCGGTCCTAATCCGGGTCGGTCCGGTCCGGATTTCGGTTTCAGTTCGGATATTCGGTCCAAACAAACATCCGTAGTTTGTCGTTCCAAAAAAAAAAAAAATTGTCGAGCCATTCATTTCAATTGTGAACTTAAATATTTCAAAACTTCAAATGTTATGGATTTAAGAGTTTCTTATGAAAATATAAAACTTAATGTGAATTTAAAATTTATACAAGAGTTATACATACGACTTATACATCCCATAGCATCACTCCATGGACCATGCCCAAAGTCTTCATTAACAGTGACGAATCTAGAACCAAAATCAATGTGGTTCCTTATATAAATGAAATGGAAAAAAGTATGAAAATATAAGTCTTTTGGCAAAAATAATGTAGTTCCTTATGTTTTTTTATATAGAATTGTTGTATTAAAAAAGAAAAAATATAGGTCCTAGGACCTATCTTGAGTATGAATAGTTACGCCCTTGTTGATTAACATTAGTATTTTTATTAAACTTTGATAGACTATTTGTATATATTATTTCATAACATATAACATATTTATATATCCACATCTTATTAATCGTATCATATTTGTGCTTAATTTTTCAAATTACTAATCATGAGTAATTAAGATAATTAAGTTGTTATAGTTCACTTTGTTTAAATGGGGATAATTCTTCATGCAATCGGTAAAAAGCCCATCCGGTTCGTCTTGATATCAACCGTTTCTTGAGTCATTTCAACGGATACCGACTATAAAAGCATCATCCTCGCTCGTTCTCACGCTTATTTCTTGATTAGCGAATTCATGGCGGATCAATCTTTGGCTATCCTTCAAAAGAAGGTCCATCATCGAGGCCCACAGTCGAATGCCTTAATGGGGTCGTCGAACTTCTTCGTTGATGACGGGAACAAATCGGGTTCCTCTGGAAATCGCGACTCGTTTGAACTGAAGAGCATGGATTCAACTCGAATTCGTAGTGCAGATATAATTGATACAAATCAAGAACACAAGAAAAGGTGTTTCGAGAAATTGGTGGTACGTACAGAACGGATGACGAAAGAAAACGTAGAAGATGTCAAATGTTCACTGAAGGTTGAAGTCATTGATGATACGGCTCTAATCGAGGCCACTGCTGCTGTTTCTGGATTCAAGAATTCTTATGGGAAAGAAACTGATGTGGGTATCGGACATAATCCAGGAAATCTTGGTGGTTCGAAGAATCCAAAGCAAGAAAATGATGGCAAGAAGAAAAGGAACAAAGTATCCAAGAAAGGGAAGGGGTGTTCGATGAAATGCGTGAAAGAGAAAAAGTTGAATACTCAAGTGGTTGAAGATCAAAGCGCAAAACATAAGAAGATTCCAGATGGAAAGGGTCCAAATGGGTTTAGAAAAACGTACCCCAAAGTGAAACTTGTTTACCGAAAGAAGGATTCCATTGGTCCAAACTCGATAGCCGCTGATGTTCAAGAACATCTGATTTCTGAAACTGAAAGTGAACCCGAAAAGATCATTGAAGGGGCCTTCCAAGAACCCGAGTCAAATTTGAAGGCGTCAGATGAAAATGAAGAAGAATCCACCATCGAACTGGTAGAAACTGAACCCGTAATCGACAATGATGATGGGTTGCAATCAAACCCTAAAAAGAATGAAGAAGAAGATCAAAATGTCTGTGAAACTGCAACTGCAAGTGTAGAATCAAAGAAAATGGCGTACACAAGGGAGGAAATGGAGGCACTAAGATTTGCCAATGAAGATGAACAGAAGAAGAAATGGGCGAAGATTTATGATGGGTTTTCATCTTCTGTTGCAAAAGAGTACATCAGTCTTCTTTCTGACATGAACAAACAGCAGACACAAAGGTACAATCGTGTTGCAAATTGTGGGTCTACTTTTAATCGTCATGCTATTCTTAGTATGCCTCCTGTTTTACCTTTGGGTTCATCATCAAGTTACAAAAAGATGGCGCCAATTGTTCATACAGGTTTCAGGGTAAATTTCACCTGAAACTTACCTTGGTTTGGATTTTGATGATGGCATGCTTGTTAGTTGTGTTACATTTGTAAATGCAGGAAAATAGGTAAGTTTCTTGTATGCTATTTTCATTTGTCTAGATGTTCATGTTCTTCAGAAAGAATGTAAATCAGTTAGAAGAAGGTAGATCTGGTAAGAAATCTGTGCATCTTGTAGAAAGAATTTGTCTGAATAAAATCACTACTTGTAGATTCTGATCATTTTTCTTGAAATCTTCCGTTTTTATAAATGCATGTTGACTAGAGGTATCAATTTTGATTCATTTACTTTAAAATGGATTTGTCTTCACTTTTATCTTCAATTAGTCAAATGGGTCAAATTTAAAAATTAGCAAATTGCATAGAATAACAATGTATTTTGCTATTCCTATTATCGATTAGGAAATGTAAGTATGATGTTGTTATGATTCAGAATTATAAAATATGTTGTTATTGTGTGAAGAAAATGTAAATAATGGGTAAATAATTGCAAGTATGTTGCTATTATGAGTAAAAGTTAACATACATACCTACATTTGTAAAAATGTGTAAAGTATGTTGCTATTTCTTGCAACTTCATTTGTTAAAATAATTTCTTATTATAAAATATAATGAAATCGCTAGAAAAAAAAAAAAAAAAACAAACAGCCAATATATTTATTTTCGTTCATAATATGATGTTATCTCAGATTCAACAAAATAGCAACTTGATAAGTATACACTTGGGCCTTATTAATATATAAATACACATGAGCCATTTGTAGCAGAACAGTTCAGTTTAGAGGAATTTAGTAAATAGTTGGGCTGGGCTAACATAATTGGTAATTCGCCTATGTGTCCAGTCCATAGCTACTGGTTTCTATTATTTTTAAATATAGTCTCAATCTTATATTTATATACTTTCTTTGTAAACACAAATATAAATGCAAAATATTCTCAATGCGAAAAGCTTTTCTTAATAAGTTTATGGTTTATTGATATGTTTTATTATTATTATTATTATTATTATTATTTTGTAAAAACACTTTCAACAATTAGTAATATGGCTCTAAACGAACTAGATGTTAACGGAACTGTTCGTAAGTCATTAAGCGGGAAGCTTGTTTATATTAGTTTATTTAATAAATCAACGAACATAAACAAGATTTTGTTGTTTATTTAGTTTAGTTAACGAACATGTACAATTGTCTTGTTTGTTTACTTTTGTTTATGTTCGGTTATTATATTACAATATATAAAATGTTATACAACCTGTGAGAGTGAAAATGAATCATGTTGGGCTGGTTTAAGTTTGCAACTTTGAAATTTAGTAAGAATATCAAAAACAATATTGATAAATACAATCAAAATATAAGAATTGTTTATGATAAAGTATTGGCCAAGTTCTATAAAAACCATTATAGTTTGATTTTTTTTATTTAACATTCGAAAGAAATTCTACGATTGAAAGTTTGTTTAATTTTTCAAAATAATTATTCTACGTTTTTTTTCCATTAGTGAGTTGCAAATAACAAACGGAAAATTATTTATTTCGGCGATTGATGGTTTTGTTAAAAAAAGTTCAAACTATCGATGGTTAAGTCGAAAATAAAAATCTTTTGAAGTGGTTAAATCAAACAATATTCAAACTCTTATGTTTTTATAGAATACAAAGTTTTATGTGGCGTTTTTTTCGAAGAAAAAAAAATAAATAAAATAAATAAATAAACTCTTAGTGGTTAAGATAGAAAAAAAATTCTATCGTAAACCGAAAGAAAAAAAAACAAATTACACCAATTTTTATGAAAATTAAGATTATTGATTTGGATGGTTAACATAGATAATTAGATATTTAAAAGAAATGTGGGCCTACTAGCCCAACAGTTCACTATAGGCATTTAATACCTGGACCTTTCTGGCCCAATTAACAACTGGCATTTAATAGTCGACACTTGACTACTGCTATCTATTTTATTTATTTGTCAAACCACAATAAAAACATAATATATTTTTTTTTATTATTAAAAATAAAGATAATAATTTTAAGAATTTTTGATATTTTAAGGAACTGGTGATCATAATTTATCATATAACATTATTATGTTTAGATATTTAACTATTAATCAAATTATTTCCGTCAATAATACGCTAATCTAAAATTTGTATTTATATAAAGTTGATATATGGCAACCACCTTCAGAACATTAGATGATTTAGACACTTTATTTATTTTTTTATAAAATGTAATTTGATTTATAAAAAAACATGTGTTATGTTCTTTTTCATTTCTATTGATCATACATTTACACCATTGCAAAAAAGAAATGCAAATGAGGTCTTTTAAGATGTAAATAACAAAGTATATTATTTTATTAGTATCTCACAACCTAATATTTACTACCTTTATATAAATAATATTGTTTAATTTAAAGCTATATAAGACCATAACATTATAAATAGTATAAGATTATATAACTACAATCAATACGTGTAGCATAATACATAGATTTTGGTCCATATGTTTAGAAAATGTACGAACTAACTTTTAATTTATAATAATAATAACAATTTCTTTGTCATGATGTATTGATGTGGTTGTATTGAATTTTAATAACAAACAAACTGTCTTGAGTTATTTTAATTCTTTTTTAAAAAAAAAATACATGTGTATACATATTTTATTTCTGTTATTTTCTAAATCATTCAAAATTCAAATTCCCAAAAATTATGTTATATTAAAATTTATCACGCGAAATCATCTCAAAGTTTGAGCAAGTGGGATTTACACTTGGGCACCTCTTTTTTTTTTCTTTAAACTTCATATATGAATAAATACATGTTTAAAATTATTGTATTTGAAAAAAAAAATCTAAAACTATGTGAAGCAGCAGACTCTTTTTAGCAGTTTTTAGTTTTTTTTTTAAAACGGGCAAATATATATATATATATATATATATATATATATATATATATATATATATATATATATATATATATAAAATGCTACATGATCAACAAGAAACTAAATCATGAGTTGTGTACAAGTACAATAGATTTTTAACAAAAAGGAGTTATACTCCAATCAATCCATCTAGCCTTAACATCTTGAGTTTCGTACTTAAACCATGTGTATGTTTGGGAGATCACTTCATCCACGATTTTTGCAGGGGTCACCCTTATTTGTTTGAACACTGTGTTGTTTCTCGACATCCATACGAACCATAAGAGACCATAAACAATCGCATTCATTCTTTCTCTCTTTTTAGGACAACTACCCTAATTTGCCGCAAAATTAACAAAGTCATTGACATTGTTAAACTAAGAGACCTTAATTCCACACCAGTTAAATATCCATTCACACGCCTTTCTCGCCACTGAGCAATTGATCAAGAGATGATCATCTGTTTCTTTTTCCAAATTACAAAGTGGATATGTGGCTGATTGTAACTTAATATCCCTTATTTTCAGATTTGCTGCCACCGGTATACGATCTAAAAGGGCCCTCCATATAAAACATCTTATTTTCAGTGGAACCGCCTTGGACCAATTTATTTTGATATCTGATTGTAGGATAAAATTTTTTGAATCCATATATTTTCGGAGGGAGTAAACCGTATACTTACCATCTGTACTTAACTTGAATCGAAAACCGTTGACCACCGGTAGGGTATTAGTATCACAGATCAGTGAGCATAGACTTATGAAATAAAAAGAGAAAATTGCAAATTTAACCAAATTCCTTAATTACTTTGTGGAAAATAGCCAAAAAAAACATAAATTACAAATATAGCCATGAAAATCGCAGATGGATTAAGCCCATCTGCGATTTTAGCATTCCATCTGCGAACGTACAAATCGCTAAAGCACAGTCGTGCTTTAGCGACTTGTACGTTCGCAGGTGGTTTTTTTTTAGTTTTTTTTTTATTTTTTCCGTATAAATAACCCAATATTTGACTGAAATCGCAGATGAACTAAGTTCATCTGCGATTTCCTCTCATCCCACCTGCGATTTTGCGTTTTTTTTTCAATTTTTTTTAATTTCGACTACAAAATTGATAGGGTTTAACTATGAAACAACCTTATTATATATAAACTTTTGCAAAAAAAAAAAATTAGTTCTTATTTCTTTAGAACATTTGTTTAAAACATCTCTAACAAAATGAATTCTCCAACAAAAACTTTGAAAAATATTTGAAAAATGAAATTGTTCATAGTGCCTCTAGAGAAAGAGAGTTCTCCAAAAAAAAATTTAAAATGAAAGAAGAAAAAAAAATTACGTTTTTATACCCCTGAAAAATGAGAAATCACAGATGGACAAATAAAATCGTAGATGGACTGAGTCCATTTGCGATTTTGATGACTATTTTTGTAATTTGGGTTTTTTTTTTTTGCTATTTTCCACAAAGTAATTAAGGGATTAGGCTATTTTTGTAATTTTCTCAAATAAAAATACAATTTGCAGTTTTTAGTTAATGACTTTTATGTTTACATCTATTTTTGTTTAACACTCTATACAAAAATAAAAATACAATTTGCAGTTTCCAGCTATAGTTTTGTCAAATATATATAAATAATCATCTGATTAATGGTTATTTTAATATCAATAATTTTGATTTATGGTTATTCATAATTTAGAGAGTTGAACTATGCCGACTCAACTTATATGCCGACTCAACTTAACTCAGTGCTTACTCATGACAGGATATGAGACTCGGTTTAATTCGAAACAAAATTATTACATTTCACTTAAACAGTACATAACAACTGCAAATAATATATATTTCTTAAATGATTTTTCTGTAATATACGAAACACTTATGTATATTATAATTTAGATATTTAATTAGTGATAAAAGAAACGATTAGTTTGTAGTCGTACAACTTGTTTTATTTAATTTCCAATGAATATTAATCATGAATTGCATCACACAAAAAAGTCGACGGGGCAGGTATGGCGGGAAATGACAAGTTATATTAATTTTAGACCTGGCCCAAACTTATATTTTATTCAAATTA